CAGGTTTCGTCAGACGAATGGTTTCGTTACGTCATTCGTCGTCATGAAAATAGTTTTCGTCAGGTATCATTAATCGGGAATTTCGAGAAGGAGTACGAGATTCCGAAGGGATACGATTGAAATTTTTGTAGATTTAGTTCACGCATTTTTTTTGGTTCGTGGAGTTTAACCACAATTTATTTCGGCCCAAGGGTTCTGTTATTCATTGACTGCTTAGCCCGAGCAGCCTCTTCAACAGTGGTATAACGTACAAATCCGAAATCTATAGACGTGCTGGTTTCTTGATCACTCATAACTCGAGCGTTGACGATTCGACCATATTTACGGAAATAATTAAAAAGATCCTTACTGGTAATATTTACATCTAAATTCTTTATAAAAAGATTACACGGATCTACCAAAGGACCATCAGGACTGGTTGATTGTGCACGGTACTAGGGGAGGATTAAAAATATCAAAAAAATATATTAATTAGTATATCTCGTCAATCTAAAGTATAAGAAATATAAATTCTCTGATAGGCAAATCAAAATTGTAAGAAATATAAATTTGTATTAGCTTACATTGACTTTCCCTCTCCTTTTGCGCGATGCTATAGTAAATTGATATGTATCAAATTCGATTCATAGATAAAAAGGACGCAAGAATAATCATATTCCATACCATTTGTGTGGTTGAGCCCAAATTTAGTTTTTTGGTGCCTTTCCATCATTCATAATAGCAATATCAATATTAACCATGAGACATTATAAATAACCATTACGTATAATTGTAGAATATTTAATACCTTTGTTTTCTTCGTTTTGTACATAACCGACATTTGTTGATTTGACATCGATATCGATATCATGTTTGGTAGTCACATGTGCTAGAATTTTGTACAAAACAATATATTGATATTGTTTTTATGATTTTTTTTGAAAGATAATGATTTTACCTTCATTTGGAACATACAAACTGACATTTGTAAACCCTAAATGTTGATATATTTAAAAAATCAATTGAAATATCATTATTGAATATAAAAACACATGTACGTACCTGCAACAGTCGGTATTGATATTAATGTTGAAGTAAAAATTCGACTCGTGTAAATTGCATTTGAGTGAATTTGTTGTTTTGTAAGAATGCTTTTTTGTAATTTCATCTCCTCGTCAAGTTCTTTCAATTTCTGTTTCTCTACTTTAAGAAACTCTTTAATTTCTTTTTCTGCTTTAGGATGTTCTGAGGAACTGTAGTACTGAAAATGCAAAGAATTCAGTCTCCAATGATATTTAGCATCAAAGTAGATAGTGTAAATAAATTTTCTTAGTTCCTCAGCAGTTGGTCTGTTTTTGGGAATAAGATCCCAACATTTTTCAATAATAAATTTGCACCATCCAGGAACATCATTTGGTATCGTAGGTCGTAATCCTTTATAGATGTCTAATACGAGATGTATATCATGACTTCGATCACCAAATGGTCGATCACCTGTTATAACCTCGTACATAACCATTCCAAAACTATAAATATCCGCAGCGTAAGTGTATGCCTTTCCATTTAGCACCTCTGGGCTCATATAAGGAAGCACCCCACAAATTTCTTGGTTAGATTTTTCTATATCTGCTTGAATGCTAAGTCCAAAATCAGCAATTTGAGGAAACTCATGATTATTGCCACGACTCATTATGTCCAACTTTTTCATTAATAATATATTTCCAGGATGAAAGTCACGATGCACAAATTTCTCTTCGTGAATTTTTCCCAGATCATCGATAATCATATATAAATAGTCCAATTTTTGACCCCAAGTCAATTTTTCGTAGTTGGAATGAATATATTTACGGAGATCACCATCTTCTGCATAATCCATCACTAT